ACACAACAACAACAGCATAAGTAACAACAACACGAACCCAACAACACAATGAACAACACAAGGAACAACACAAGGAATTTAATATATATCATTGCTATTGAAAATCATGTATTTTCCCATACTCTAAACGTGGATCTCAAATGATAATGCTGTTGGGTTTGAGCCCCTGCGAGAAAGCAAGGGGCCGGATCAGCTTAAATTTGTCTCGAGTCCAATTTTTTGCTTGTCAGATTTATATTCAAAAGTCGATTGTACGCATGGGCCTTCTAAGACATCTTTTAAGCTAAGATTTTGCTAAGATGGTTTGATAAATCAAATTAGGATATTTGCCTAGGGACATCTTAACTTTTTTTGACTTTAGACATTTGCTAAGGTGAGATTGATAAATCCCAGGCAGCTGATTCTGAGGCAAGTAAGACAATTGAGGATAAATGTAGCTTAAATTCAAGTGGTAGGCTACATCCTGATGTTGTTGTACTGAAAACCAGGAATTGGTGCTTGTGTACTACAATTTTGAACATTTGTACATTATACCAAGATTGGTGAATTCCATACCCAAACTGTTTTTAGAGAACTGCCTCATCTCATATGGCATTTCCCCTCTTTGTTGATGGAGTCACATCCTTGAGGCTCATATTTGCACATGCTCAATCAGTGAAACGGTTCCAGGCTGGTGAGAGTCCATATTCCGAAACTGGAAGCGCAAGAGTTCTGTAAAGTGATACAGTAGAATAGCTTTTGAAGAGCTGGCAGCCTTGTTTGTGTGTGTGTGTGACATGTTTGTTCCATGTAGTGTGTTTGTGTTGGTTAGTAATGTACTAGGTACCTGAATCATTTAACAGAGAGGTTAGTATTGTTGAGATGATAGGCAGGGAGATGTTTTCTGTGTTTGGATAATTGCTGATCACTATCACTAATACTTTCTACTCTATTATCATACTTTTACAATTTCTTTCCTCGTATTGGCCTATTCTTATTTATTTTATTTGAAGTTTAGTTATAATAATAACTATAGTTTATTATATAATTTTAAACGTACCATTTTGTATTCAAGCTCTGCTTTATATGGTGACGTCACTTGTAGCAGTTGGCAAGTGAAATATGAAAGAAGGTCAAGTCATTTGTATAACTTTGGATTTAGTAGTTTTAGTAAACATGTTGTTACTAATGGTCCAACTCGTAATGTTTGATTAGCTCTGCTTTATATGGTCACGTCAATTGTAGTAGTTGACAAGTGAAATAAGAAAGAAGGTCGAGTCATTTGTACTGAATAACTTTGGATTTAGTAGTTTTGATAAACATGTTGTTACTAATGGTCCAGCTTGTAATGGTTGATCAGCTCAGCTTGGAGTAACAATTCATCATTCTACTGTGTATGTTCTGGAAAATTAAAGTGTCATCAGCAAAGAGAAGGTAGGTTTAGGGTTAGGGTTGGAGTGACAATTCATCATTTCTACTGTGTATGTTCTGGAAAATTAAAGTGTCATCATCAAAGAGAAGGTAGGGTTAGAGTGACAATTCATCATTTCTACTGTGTGTGTTCTGGAAAATTAAAGTGTCATCAGCAAAGAGAAGGTAGGGTTAGGGTTAGAGTGACAATTCATCATTTCTACTGTGTATGTTCTGGAAAATTAAAGTGTCATCAGCAAAGAGAAGGTAGGGTTAGGGTTAGGGTTAGGGTTGGAGTGACAATTCATCATTTCTACTGTGTATGTTCTGGAAAATTAAAGTGTCATCAGCAAAGAGAAGGTAGGAAAGAGAAGGCACCGGTAGCAGGAAGATCAGATTGGTTTGCATTAATATTGCAGAAAGAATTGTCACAAAATAAAATGTATATAATACTGTACTTACTTACAGTACAGTATGTGATACTGTAACAAAGTTTATAAATGGAGAAGAGTTTAAATAGCTCAGTGGTTAAGACGCTTGCCTGCTGATCCAGGATCCTGGGTTCAATTCCTGTCACAGCAGGACTTTTTTTCATGACTTGATGAATGGTTTTTCCTTTCATCATTTGGCGTATACTTTTTGAGCAGTGCCCTCTTTCACACAAGTCTTCTTTTTTTATGAAATCCGACTGTCCAATATTTACCTTTTGTTATTATATTGTATTGTGTGAAGAAATAAATGTTTATTTTAAATTGAAATTGAACTCCACTCCCTAAGCCTCATAAAGAGACTTAGTTTATAAAGCATCATTCTCATTCTGTAAGTGGGGAGTCTACTTGCTGTTGGATGTGAAGGAAATAAAAAAAAAAAAAAATAAATAAAAATAAATGATAAAGTAAGGAGACTGGAATTGCTAAAGTCCACTTAATTCATGCTAAATGAGCAGCACTCACTCACCGATGCTATTACCTGAGGAACTAAATTAAATATGCACATAGTGTAAATATATATTTTATTTGCATTGTGTAATAAACTTGTTTTCTTAAATTTCAGCTTGGCAAAAGAAAGGGTTGTAATGGCTTAGAATGGTCGTCACTTCCAGATAATGATGTTGCTGCTGGCTTCTATAAGTCTATTGGTGGCGTTGATAAAACTGTAACAGAAAATTGGCATGCCCACTATTTACCTAAGGATAAATTCATGGAACTTGCAAATTCTTTAAAATAAAATACTAAATGACATGCACCTGCATCAATATAAAGTCAATGGTACTGTCTTAGACTTAAATATAATTATGATTCTCTTTTTTTTTTCTCCATTTCAATTTGAAATATTTAGATATGCAGCCCAGACAGGCTGCAATTTTTTTTTTTCCTGGACATCGAGGCAGTGGCAATTGTTAGCGCTATAGCTTCAAAATATCACCTTCCTGATTTGGCAATAAGGCATGAATATTTATTGGTACTGTACTTTCTTATTGTTGTCTTATAGTCTTATTGTTCTGTACAAAACAATAAGTGCTGTGGACATGCGATGCGATAGCGAGTACCAGTAGTAGATATTATTATGCAGGCGTATTTTCACGGACAAGCTGTAATACTATTCCTTTTGATGAAGAGTGTTGACACCACAGACTTAAATTAAGCTACCTTTTATTATAATTCTGAAATACATATTTTTGACATGAGTAATTATTAGGCTAGCTAATTACAAAAAAACTCTGTATAGGTCTAGGCCTTATTTTTTAGGAATGTACTTCACTCATCGTGTTGGGATTCAATATTTCGACAATAATTATGTCAATCATCATTCCTGATGATGACATAATTAATTGAAAAACTAGTAAAATCTATGATAAGAGGAAAACATTTATGAAATGTTGTTTACTTTCGTTGTCCAACTGTCTGTCTTAAATGTGGTGAATAGGACTCTAGGGACTTTCCTGCGTAGTATGGACAGAAAACATTTTGATAAAAACAAGCTTGATACTTGACAGGTAATCCTTTTGCAGCTTCTATCGGAAGCTAGATTATGTGTGTATAGGACGGTATAGTGAAACCATTTCCAAGCTCTATTCCCCCTGTCGGACAGCTCATCCCCTAGAAAACATATCCTACAGCCGCCACAGCTACTAGCCTACACCTTTTTATCATTGGCACTAAACAAGCAAAAAAAAAAGACCTAATGCCAGGATTAATAATAATAAAATAATAATAATAATAATAATAATAATAATAATTATAATAATAATAATTATAATAATTTTGGCTTGAATTGAATTGAATTTATTTTACAAAAAGATAAAAATCTGGATAACCCATTAAACTATAAAGTTCGTTTCCGATGGGGTCCACAACAAACATAAAGACAGAAAAAAAAAATATCAAAAATCAGCATTAAAGATGTTGATAAAAGCATTCAAAATGTAACAATCAATAAAAATTCACAAATACTTAAAAAGGCAAGTACGAATTATAGAAAACAGGAATTGATGGCAAAATTAACAGTGACAACAGTTTATATATCAAAAAGTCAAAGATAAAAATTTGGTAATAAAAGCTTTAAAATAAAAAAAAATAAAAAAAATAAAAATAAAATAAAATAAATAAAATAGTCATCATCTCCATAAGAAATTGCTTAACTTTAATTTTAAAATAACTTTTAGAAGTGATTGATTTTATTTCATTTGGCAGCTTATTCCAGTGTTTTATTGAATTATAAACGTCTTAGAAACACCACCATTATGTTTATTAACAATAAACATATTTTGCCTCCCTCTTGCGTTGTAAACATGATTAACTAGAGTAAAATTTTCTTTTAAACAATTTGGGTATAGATCATTAAAAATGTTAAAAATGTGATTAAGTTTGAGCTGTGTGACTTGTTGCTTGATATTTAATAAGTAAAGCGATTCAAAATATGTTTTAAAATATAATAATAATAGGGATCCTTGTTTAAAATAAATCTAATGCAGTAACCTTATTTTGCACTCTTCGGAGTTCAGGACAATTTAAATTCGTTAAAGCATTATACCAAGAAGAAATGCAATATTCAATAATGCTAAAAATTAATGATGAACAGACAATTTATATACCTTTTTTAATACACTACTTAGATAGGCTTTTCTTTTTCCATCTTGATTTCAGAGGTCAAAAACATTTTTCAATTTTTTTTTCAATCATATAGTGGTCTTTTAAGAACATTTTGTTGGAATTTTTTTGGATACGACGCCCCGTTATGGAGTTTAAATAACATGATGTCAGAAAATCGGCCCCAAAAGTTTATCTTATTTCTGTTGGTTACGCACTGCTGATTCGCAATGTTTGTCATCGATGTCTACCGATTCGTGAAAAAGGCCTATTTTTAGAGTGAGCGCAGCAACAAATTGTACAGCGCCGCCATACAGCTAGATTTTTTTTTATGGATGGATGAGCTCGAGTGTGCGTGGCGACTTAGCCAGCCAGCCAGCCGGCGTATAATTGTATGCCATTGGGGTATTCTGTCAGTGTTGTTATATATCGGGCTAACGCTGGGCCTAGTGTTGAAGGACTTGAAAGAGTAAGGTATATCATTTATTTAGAGTCATGCTCGCGAATTTAGGCCTAGCCTAGGCTAGCCTTCTAGTAGTAGTAGTAGTAGTAGGCGTAAGCCTAGTTGTAGGCCCTATTTATAGCCTAGGCCTATGCCTAGGCTAGGCTAAGAAGTAGGCTACGTACTTACCTAGCCTAGGCCTAGGATTAAGGAAGCAGGTTAACTCGGCCACAAGTCAACTCGGCCACAGGTCAGCTCGGCCACAAGTCAACTCGACCACATGTCAACACGGCCACAATTCAACTCGGTGACATGTCAACTCGGCCACAAGTCAACTCGGCCACAATAAACTAGGCCACCTTGAAAAATTGTGTC